TAGAATTTCTTATCTCCTGCTCTGTTAATAATCTGCTAGAGTATGCAGGGATTTCACTTGTGTGATTAAAGTTCCATTACCAGAGCAGGAGATATAAACTTCTAAAGAAACTTCTCAAACCATTTATTGCCATGGAATCTTTCGGTCACAACCAAAAACAAAAGTGATTTAAGCGGTGAGACTGCAAGTGCATGATGTATACACCAAAACGACTTCAATAAGCTAAAGTTGTTTCGGTAAAACCAAAGAAAAAAAAGTTACTTGCGCACTATTCCAAATTCCTGTGCATATTTATATAAATGAAGGTTTTTAGTTCCACTCCAATGGCCGATAGATGTAAGTATACCTGCCACGTCAAGGGATTGTTACACTAACAATTCACCTTGCTTGCTTCAGCTTAAGGCAAAATAAAATATCTAATGAGACATAGAGGGGTATTTTTTATTTTAAACCCCTGCGTGCTTATTAACCCTTTGACATCGTACACATGGGATGGGTGGCAGCAGGGCCGCCATCAGAAAATTTGGGGCCCATGACAAAGCACAAGGTCTGGGCCCCCCACCCTCCTCCCAGGCCCGCCCACGCCCTACCTAGTCCGCTCACAATGATGCAGGACTGAATGTGGTGTGTGTATAGTGGAAGTGAATTAGAATGTGTGTAATGGATGTAGTGTTTGTGTGTATTAGATACTGTTTGTGCAGTGAATGCAGAGTGTGTGTTTGTGTAGCGGATGCATTGTGTATAGTGAACGCAGAGTGTATTTGAGTAGTGGATGTAGTGTGTGTACAGTGATGTAGTGTGTGTTTGTGTAGTGGATGTAGTGTTTGTATGTACTAGATGAAATGTGTTTAGTGGATGTAGTGTGTGTTTTAGACGCAGTGTCTGTGTATAGTGAATGCAGAGTGTTTCAATTTGTGGTGGATGTAGTGTGTGTACTGTGAATACAGGATGTTTGTGTAGTGGATGCTGTGTGTATGTTAGTGTAGTGAATGCAGAGTGTGTGTCAGTATAGTGAATCCAGAGTGTGTGCATAGTTTAGTGAATGCAGAGTGTGTGTTAGTGTGTAATGAATGCAGAGTGTGTGTTAGTGTGTAGTGAATGCAGAGTGTGTCAGTGTAATGAATGTAGTGTGTGTGTTAGTGCAGTGAATGCAGAGTGTGTGTAAATTTGTAGTGAATGCAGAGTGTGTGTTAATGTGTAGTGAATGCGGAGAGTGTGTTAGTGTGTAGCGGATGCAGAGTGTGTGTTAGTGTGGTGAATGCAGTGTTAATGTGAAGTGAATGCAGAGTGTGTGTAAATTTGTAGTGAATGCAGAGTGTGTGTTAATGTGTAGTGAATGCAGAGAGTGTGTTAGTGTGTAGCGGATGCAGAGTGTGTGTTAGTGTAGTGAATGCAGAGAGTGTGTTAGTGTGTAGCGGATGCAGAGAGTGTGTTAGTGTGTAGCGGATGCAGAGTGTGTGTTAGTGTAGCAGATGCAGAGTGTGTGTTGTGTTAGTGTATGCAGTGTGTGTGTGTTGTGTTAGGGTATGCAGTGTGTGTGTTGTTTTAGTGTATGCAGTGTGTGTGTTGTTAGTGTATGCAGTGTGTGTTGTGTTAGTGTATGCAGTGTGTGTGTTGTGTTAATGTATGCAGTGTGTGTGTTGTGTTAGTGTATGCAGTGTGTGTTGTGTTAGTGTATGCAGTGTATGTTGTGTTGTGTTAGTGTATGCAGTGTGTGTGTGTTGTGTTAGTGTATGCACTGTGTGTTGTGTTAGTGTACGCGGTGTGTGTTGTGTTAGTGTATGCAGTGTGTGTGTTGTGTTAGTGTATGCAGTGTGTGTGTGGCCTGTTAGTGTGTACAGGGTGTGTGTTGTGTTAGTGTATGCAGTGTGTGTGTGTGTTGTGTTAGTGTATGCAGTGTGTGTTGTGTGTTAGTGTGGGTGTGTGTGTTAGTGTATGCAGTGTGTGTGTGTTGTGTTAGTGTATGCAGTTTGTGTTGTGTTAGTGTATGCAGTGTGTTGTGTTAGTGTATACACAGTGTGTGTTGTGTTAGTGTATGTGTGTGTGTTGTGTTAGTGTATGCAGTGTGTGTGTGTTGTGTTAGTGTATGCAGTGCGTGTTGTGTTAGTGTATGTAGTGTGTGTGTTGTGTTAGTGTATGCAGTGTGTGTTGTATTAGTGTATGCAGTGTGTGTTGTGTTAGTGTATGTAGTGTGTGTTGTGTTAGTGTATGCAGTGTGTGTGTGTTGTGTTAGTGTATGCAGTGTGTGTTGTGTTAGTGTATGCAGTGTGTGTGTTGTGTTAGTGTACGCAGTGTGTGTTGTGTTAGTGTATACAGTGTGTGTGTTGTTTTAGTGTATGCAGTGTGTGGTGTGGTAGTGTATGCAGTGTGTGGTGTGGTAGTGTTTGCAGTGTGTGTTGTTTTAGTGTATGCAGTGTGTGTGTGTTAGTGTATGCAGTGTGTGTTGTGTTAGTGTATGTAGTGTGTGTTGTGTTAGTGTATGCAGTGTGTGTTGTGTTAGTGTATGCAGTGTGTGTTGTGTTAGTGTATGCAGTGTATGTGTGTGTTAGTGTATGCAGTGTGTTGTGTTAGTGTATGTAGTGTGTGTTGTGTTAGTGTATGCAGTGTGTGTGTTGTGTTAGTGTATGCAGTGTGTTGTGTTAGTGTATGTAGTGTGTGTTGTGTTAGTGTATGCAGTGTGTGTTGTGTTAGTGTATGCAGTGTGTGTTGTGTTAGTGTATGTAGTGTGTGTTGTGTAAATGTGTGATCTGGGGGGGGAGGGGGAGGAAGGGGCATTTTAACATTAATTTTCTATTGATGTAATTAAATGTTTCTCCCCCCTCCCTGCTTACCTGTATCCAGGGAGGGGGGAGATTCCATCCGTGGTGGTCCGGTGGGGGGCCCCCCCCCCAGCTCCCTGTTACCGCAGAGGGGGCCCAGGCAGCACAGGAGCAGCTTCTCCTCCTCTCTCCTCTCTTCTAATAACTCTCGCGAGACCCGCGGAGCGTTGCCATGGTAACCGGGTCTCGCGAAAGTTATTAGAAGAGAGGAGAGAGGAGGAGTAGCTGCTCCTGTGCTGCCTGGGCCCCCTCTGCGGTAACAGGGAGCCGGGGGCCCGCGGCTGCACACATAGATAGCGATATTCGCTATCTATGTGTGCAGAGAAACAAAGTGGGGCCCAGGATTGCCAGAGCAGTCCGGGCCCCCCAGGGCCGCCGGGCCCGTGACAACTGTCACGGTTGTCACCCCCTGATGGCGGCCCTGAGTACCGCCCATGTACAGGTTTTAGGGTGTCGTAGAACGTTACAGGGTAAAATACAGTGCTAGCAAATTAAATTCTTTGGACTTTCGGCCTGGGTTGGCAGGCATGTCCCTCAAATTGCAATCAATAAAATTACTTAATTATGTAAAAATATTACATAAATACGCACGTAGAATTTAAATATATATGCATATTTATATATTTGAAGTCTACGTGTATATTTATATAATTATTTATGTAATTTTGTATATGGACATATGTATATTTCATATTATTTTTATTTATTTATATATACATAGATATATATACAAATTCATTCTAAGTGTATTTTGATATAAAATATATATATATATATATATATATATATATATATATATATATATATATTAATATCAAAATACAGTTAGAATAAAATTTCATATAGATATATAATTTAAAAAAAAATTATTATTTTTATATTTTTTAATTTAATTTAAATTACTTATTATTTATATTTTATAATAATATATATACAATATATAAAGTTATATATATTATATATACGTGTGTAATTTAATTATAAGTGTATTTTATATTAATATATGTACATATTAATATAAAAATACACTTAGTATGACATTATATACACATATATATTTTTTTTTATTTTTATTAACATTAACTCTGTTGAGCGATCACATGGCCACAGAGATCCTAATCCAGTGTGGGGAGACTGTCTGGGCTGCACACCAGGAGCACTACTGATCGCCGCGGGGGAACAACGGCGATCAGGTAAGTAACTAAGACCGTTAGGACGGTTCAGGACCATCAGCAGTCGGCAATGGGAAAATGCTGATGACGGTCCTGAACCATCCGTGGTCCTTAGGGGGTTAAAAAGCATTTTAATAATATTCACATGTAGTCTCCATCTATGTATGTATATATATATATATATATATACATATATATATATATATATGTATGTATATATATATATATATATATATATATATATATATATATATATACACACACATCTATACACCTGTGTTTTTTAAGGCAGATATCCAATCAACCAATCATGATCATGTGGCAGTGCTTCAATGCATAAAAGCATGCAGATATGGTCAAGAGCTTGTTATTCAGACAAAACAGAGATGGGATGCAATATTAGTGCCTTTGCCCATGGAAGGAGTGATGGGGCCAGTCATGCTGGTAGTTCAGTATCTCAGAAACTGCTGATATTTTTATACGCAATAGTATGTAGAGCTTACAGAGAAAGGCAGAAAGAATAATTTATTAAGCAGCAGTTCTGTTGGGCCAAAAAAGCCTTGGTATGAGAGATATTTAAGGATAATGGCCAGACGGGTTTAAGCTAACACAAAAGCAACAGCAGAGATGCACATGTGTTCCAACAATGCTATGTAGAAGAGCATATCTAATAGAACACTCGGAACTTTGACCTGGATAAAATACAGCAGCAAAATACCCTGCTGGCTTCCACAGTGAAAAACAGAAAACTGAGGCAGAAGAAGATTGGAAAAATACAATGGAGATATGGAGATGACAAGGACAGAATTTGACATATTCAACAAGAACGCATGGGTCTGTTCTGCCTTGTGTCAGTAGTTTATGCTGATTGTGTCATGGAATAGATCGAGGTGAAGATAAAAATAAACAGGCATGGTTAATGAGACAGAAGACACTGTTGAAAGGAACTGAGAACAGAGAAGTAGTCAACCGAGATATTTGGAAGGGGGAGGGGAGAGAAGCGCGTGAAGCAGAGGCACAAAAAAAAACCTTTGAGCAGCTTGTTGGTAATAATAGTATTTCTACCTAAAGTATTGTTTTTCAATAAACTGTTCCTAAACAAATTTCTCTATAGAGATATACAGTAAGTGTTATTTGCTTCAGGGTCTTTGCTATGTTTTAAATCATTTCTGTACTTTTCCATGAACTAAGCACTTTTGTTGTAATGTTTGTCTGAGGTTTAAAAAAGGAATATAATATGTAGCTGAGACTTACAGTATATAGATATTGTGCACAGAAATTGATTGATGTTGTGGTAGGGGGAGGGTGAGGAGGAGGGGGTGGGGAAGGGGGAGAGGGAGAGAGAAAATCGAATAACCCACCACGCAAAGCTCAAATCCAATAGCATAACAAAGGGTAGCAGTGTATTATTGGTCCTTAGGGTGGCAGGGCATAACACAATGCCTAAAGTATGTGAAAATAAAGAAGTCGGAAAACAAGCCAATGTCAGAGAGAGAAATATACAGAGATATACACTTAAAGTCACTCTAGATCAAGGAATACAGTAGTAATTCATGATAGTAAGTAGGGATGTGCATGGGCAAAAAATTTGGTTAGGTTCAGCACTTTTGAAATTCAGGACTTTGTCAATTCGGGACTTTGGCACTTCGGACATTCGTAAGCATGCTTCTCTTGCCACCACAACCACTTCCACATCTGTAGAGCTCCCTACTCCTAACCCCTAACCCTACCCCACCCTTACCCCTAGCCACCACAACCACTTACACATACAGGGATAGGGTTAAGTGTCCAGACTGCCACCACAACCATTTACACATCTATAGGGCCCCCAGTGCCAGGAATTCACTTATTGGTTTGATTCCTGTCATCATTCACGTAATTTTCCCTCCCTCTCTTGCTTTGCCATTTTTCAGAAATCCGAAGCACTTTGGCACTTCCGAAATTCAGCACTTTGGTAATTCAGTTCGGATCGGCACTTACGAAATTCGTCACTTCCAAAATTCAGCAATTCGGAAGCATCCGAATGTCCGAAATTCGTCCAAATTTACATTCGGAACAAAACGAATTGCACATGTCTAACAGTAAGAAAAGCCTAGTCAATATGGCAAAGTAACACAGGGAAAAAGTAAAGTGCTATGGGGAATCACAGAGAAACCACAACAGGGTAGAGACACTAAGCAGATCAGGCCATTATACAGGTTTGGGGTCTGTAGCCAGACCCACACCATTCTTGTGGGCCCAAATGTGTGTGTGTATCAACTTCGGAATGATGTTGGGCTGGTTGCATCCGAAATTTGACAATGAGACATTTGTCTACAAAATGACAAATGTCAGCAGCAGTCCCATCAAAACTGACAAAAGTCATGATCTTGGTTCAATCTAATGTCAATAATAACATCGGTATGGCAAGGATCTGGACAAAGACTCATGGCATGACCATGGCAGGGACCAAGAAGATTTGTCAATGCTAACATTGACATGACTATGTCACTGTTAAAGACATAGAGCATTCTTGATATCAAAATTGATAGAATTATAAAGCTTATAACCTGTAAGCAGGTTAATAATAATTACAAGAAACCTATGGTTTTCTGAAATATATAGTTATATACAATTACCCAAAGAGAAAAGAGATGGCCATGCTGTGCCAAACAAGGGGGTTGATGTTTTTCATTGGTATGTGCTGGACTGTGAGGTGCACCCACCAGGGCCGGATTAACATAGGGGCTGATGGAGCTGCAGCTCCAGGCCCAGGCCCAGGCCCATGGAATAGGCCCATTTTAAAAAAAAAATATATATATATATATATTTTTTTTTACACACTACTCTTAGGTTTGCCGCCTGGCTTGTATTTTAAGGCACAGACGGTATTTCATGCTGCCTGGAAGTGACGCTATTGCAGTAATACCGGCAATACAATTGCAAATATTTTTCTCAGTATAAACGGAGATTACTCTGCAATACCAGCACCGGCCAGTAGGGATCACTGTGTATGGAGAGAGGCAGGGATAGGAAGTTACAGCATCTCCCTGCCTCTCTCTACTCACTCATCCGTGGGGGTGCAGCTACACATCACAGAGGGTCCAGACAGCAGCTCCCAGCCTGCAGAGACAGACTACAGCTTAGCTCAAGTGAAGGATGGAGGGAAAGGCAGCAGGGAGACTTGGGGACGCTGAGAGACACTCGGGGACGCTGAGAGACACTTGGGGACGCTGAGAGACATAGGGAGACATGTCTCCATGTCTCCCAGTGTCTCCATGTCTCCCAGTCAGTGTCCCTAGTGTCTCAGTGTCCCTATGGCTCCCAGTGTCTCCTAGTCTCCCAGTGTCCCTTAGTCTCCCAGTGTCTCTGTCCCCATGTCTCTCAGTGTCTGCATGTCTCCCCATGTCTCCGTGTCCCCAGGTCTACCAGTGTCTACATGTCTCCCAGCCATTGTCCTTAGTGTCTCAGTGTCCCCAAATGTATCAGTGTCCCCATGTCTCCCAGTGTCCCCATGTCTATGTCCACAAGTGCCCCCCATGTCTCCCAGTGTCCCCAAGTGTCTGTGTCCCCATGCCTTCCAGCCAGTGTCCCTAGTGTCCCAGTGTCCCCTGGTCTCCCAGTGTCTTAGTTTCCCCAAATGTCTGTGTCTCCCAGTGTTTGTGTCCCCATGTCTGTGACCCCATTTCTTCCAGTGTCCCCAAATGTCTCAATGTCCCCATGTCTCCCAGTGTCTCCTTGTCTGTATCCACAAGTGTCCCCATGTCTCCCAGTGTCCCCATGTCTTCCAGTGTCCCCTAGTATCCCAGTGACCCAGGACACACTGAGACATGGGGACACTGGGAGAAATGGGGACACAGACACTGGGATACTAGGGGACTGGGCGACATGGGTACACTGATACATAGGGACACTGATGCCAGGCTGGCCTTCCAATTCTTGGCAGTTCTGGTCACGTGATTCGCATCAGTTGCCCACCATTTTAACCTGCCCATCGACTTCCTGCTTCACTGGACACTGCTGTTAGGGGGTATGGATTTACTTGAAAGATGAAAGCATAAATTAGAGAGAGAGATTAACAGAGTATGTGTTTTCTTATAGCTGCATCCTTTGAGTTTCCCTCCAACACCAACTCAGATACATGACGCTTGAGAGCTATGACTGTTTTAGTGTTTTTGGTCGATAAGATTCTGTAATTAGGCCCCATCATAACTGTCAGCACCAAGCCCACTGGGATCTTAATCTGGCCCTGGCACCCACCATTATAAAAACCACAATTCCTGTCACATGTGTCAATGCCTTGGCACCTAAGGGTGTATCACTCTGGGAAGCCCGATAACTAACACATCAAATAGAACCTGTGACCTGTTATCTAAAAAACAAATGGTGTAATGAATTTGGTTTCCAAGTTCTGAATGATGCATTTTGAATTGGTTGCTGGATTGCTGGTTGGTTATACTGATACCAATGAAAAGTTAAAGGACCACTATAGTGCCAGGAAAACATACTCGTTTTCCTGGCACTATAGTGCCCTGAGGGTGCCCCCACCCTCAGGGTCCCCCTCCCGCCGGGCTCTAGGGTGAGGGAGGGGTTAAACTTACCTCTTTCTCCAGCGCCGGGCGGGGAGCTCTCCTCCTCCTCCGCCTCCTCTCCTCCTCTTCAGCTGAATGCGCATGCGCGGCCGCACGCACATTCAGCCAGTCTCATAGGAAAGCATTCACAATGATTTCCTATGGACGCTGGCGTCTTCTCACTGTGAAAATCACAGTGAGAAGCGTGGAAGCCCTCTAGCGGCTGTCAATGAGACAGCCACTAGAGGCTGGATTAACCCTATTATAAACATAGCAGTTTCTCTGAAACTGCTATGTTTATTAAAAAAAAGGGTTAAACCTAGCTGGACCTGGCACCCAGACCACTTCATTAAGCTGAAGTGGTCTGGGTGTCTTTAGTTGTCCTTTAAATAAAATCGTTAAAAATCCACTTCTTCATAAAAGCGTATCCATTAAACTGTTAATAGCTCCTGACTGATTCCTCTTCTGCAACTGTTATTAGTCTAATACTATCCTTACCTTTTTGTGTCATTTTACCCCACTCCCTCTAGCATGTAAGCTCATTGAGCAGGGCCCTCAACCCCTCTGTTCCTGTGTGTCCAACTTGTCTGGTTACAACTACATGTCTGTTCGTCCACCCATTGTAAAGAGCTGCGGAATTTGATGGCGCTCTATAAATATCATAATAATAATAATAATAATAATAGTGAATGATCAACATGTTGAATATACTGTAGAATGCTATGCTAGCATAAAATGTTGTTACATTAAACCTTATGACTTTCCAACGCAAAGGAATACCCCTTAGCTAAAAATATTGAATGTTGAATTACCAAGACTCATATGCCATGCTTGCAACCATAACCAGGACAGTCTCTCCAAATAATGCCAAACAATTCAATTGGATTTTGCAGTCATCAAAAATTATATAACCTGGTAATGTTTTGTATAAAATGTAAAAGTTTATTTTTCACATTTTTTGGGTGATTACTAGTTTCGGAAGTGTTTTTTGTATGTTGTATATGAAAAATGCATGTTATATCATTCCTTGATGACTTTACATTGAATTGGTTTAGTGTAAGATTTTGATTGATGTAGTTAAGGTTTCCTTTAGTGTTTTGGGAGATAATATTGGTATGTTTGAAGATTAGAGATTTTAAAGAAGATTTTTTTAATTGGAGAACTATGAAAATGTTTTCAAATAATTCCAAATTAAGTTCTTTACTGGATATTGGAAATATGGCATAAGGACAGATTATTGACAGGTGTTACAAGTGTCTATGGCAAGACACTTGGGATGTAAGAAAATTGAAGCAATGTGTAACTAGTTACTAAATCTCACTAAAGTACCTAGTCAAACTGTTCCAATGGGCAAATCCTGTAACCCCATCCAATTTGTTGTTCGCTTGTTTTTGTTGTATAGATGAGGGTCTGAATGGATTAAGATAAGTGGAATGACAACAGATGATACAACACAGATTTGTTAGATCTAATGAGTATATCTTAAGTAGCTCTACAGTCTCTGACATGAAAGAAAAACAGTGTACGATGCGTTTGTCATATTAGATTGCTATTTAGCAGAAGCAATGCACGTCAGGTTGGTTTAAACTGCACACTGGCTAATAATAATGATATAGAAAACATATGGGTTAGTAAATAACCTTAAGAAATATAGTCTGGAAAAGTGTAAATATTAACAGATGGTGAGGTTCTAAGGCTGTGACATGATATAAATAATTCATAATTAGACATGCCCCTAGAATAACAATATATATTGTGATTTAAAGAGAAAGAATATTTAATGGTACATGGAATGGTTGGAATTTTGCATGCACAGCTTCTCAACACAAATAAAGTTATCAATGTGCAAAGAACAGGCATCATGTTTTAAAGGGTAATCTAAACACCAAAACAATAGTCACACTGCTCAACTATCTGTCGTTTAGGAGTTAAACCACTTTGGTTAAGAATAGTGATCGACCGATTATCGGTCTGGCAGATATTCAGTATTTTTTGCAATATCGGTATCGGCCAATAAAGATACCGATACTGCCGATAATACATACCAGGACAGCCGGGCCCATGACAAGCCTGTCAGTTCTGGGGGGCCCAGCAAGCTCTTACTTACCTTCCCAGCATCTCCCTTCAGCTCCCCTGTCTAAATCTCGTGGGTCCTGCACACACTGTGACAAACAGCCCTGGAACTCTTTTATTTTCCCTAAGCCCAAGTTGTTTTCCCCCTGGTTCATTATCTTCAAAGCAAACACAAACTTAAGTGCTCTCTCTGGGTAGCCGTTATTCGTATAACCGAAGGACACATGCTCTGAAAAATAGCGGCCATCTTGTCTCCTGAACGCAGGCAGCGGTACTTGATTGTCGAGTATCTGGAACTCCAAGACGAATATCATAACTCGCAAACCTTGGTAACTTTGTGCTGCTGTCTGCTTCTGTTCCCGACAAGCCAGGAGAGCGCTGTTTGGTGAAAAAAAGGTTTGCAGGAACAAGGAGAACAATCGCTACCTATGAGCCAGGGGAACCATTTGTTTATTTTCATATAGGAACTCACCAACAGTGACCGATCACGACCACTTTTCTTATGGAACTAATTTGGGCATACGTCACATGTGCAGTCGGTCCAAACTTTACCCTGATGGTGATTTTGTTCCACCGAGTGCTGTTTGGAAAACTTGGGCACTTGGATCCGGGCTATCCAGGGATATAAGACTTGTAAGGGGTTCCTGTTAATATTATGTATGTTTTGGGGTGTTTTATATTTCATGCATTGTACCGCTAGTCCCTGGGAAATAATTAGTTTAAGCAAAGTAAACTCCCTTATCTCCCAGACACAGAGACGCCTGTTGTACCCTTCATCAAGTCTCGACTGATGTTTGGGTATGCGAACGACTGAGAGCTATAATTCACACAACCTTGAGGGCTTTCTGGAGATTGCGAACGAGCGTACGATATGAAGTACATGAGGCTCGTGACACATACCTCCTTACATACATCCTGAAAAAGCAGTCTACATTTCTTAGTTTCCCTTATATAAGAGCAGAGGATACGAATGTCTACAGTAAAGACACTGTTATGTAAATTGTGACTGAAAATAAAACCTTTTATTTCATGGAGGCTCTGTGGTTCGAAGCCATGGGAGGTGTGGCTAGAGCTACATAATTAAAGATGGTTTATGTCAAAACATTGTGCAGTAAGACTGCAGAGACATGATCTATATACTAGAGCTTAAGCTAACGTTTATTTGGTGTCCTTTTAAGAACAAGCAGAGAAAGATAGAAAAACTAGACCTCTTAGGTAAGAGGCAGGTCAGGGGAAGTCTGGCAACTTCTAGCCTTCAGGGCAAGAACAAACAAATAGTCTTTTTATATGCACAAACAGAGATGGATTAAGATTGTGCAGGGCCCTGTGCAGGAAGAAAAATTGGAGTCCCTCCCTGGAGCCCTAGGTGTCGTGTGCATGACGGCTGAATGTTGTGTGCATATGTAAGTCTAGGAGGCTGTTTTTTGTGGGGTGTGGCTTTTTTTTGAGTGTTGTGTGGGAGAGAGGCTGTGCTGTGTATGCTGGAGAGGAGGTCTTCCCAAACATCGTTACTTAATTTATTTTACTTGCCTTCCTCTTGATTACCCTTTGGCAGGAGGGGCGTATAATAACTGGTGGTCCGGTTAAGGGCATTTCCTAGTGGTTTTTTTAGGGCAAGCATTGTGGTATAGCTGTATTGGTTCCAGATCACCTTAAAACAGTAAATGATTTAACAGTCAATGACTGAGAACTGACTGCAGTGATCTGAGTCATCAAAAAGCACTGGGACCTTGAGAAAGCTCTCAAAGTGATCTGAATCCAATAGAGGTGCAGACCACAACAGTCCCTCAATGAAGTGAGGGATCACAGGGCAGATTAACCCCTTAAGGACACATGACATCTGTGACATGTCATGATTCCTTTTTATTCCAGAAGTTTGGTCCTTAAGGGGTTAAAGAGATCTTTTGATTTCCCAGCTGACTCCAGGCAGTTTTCGGAGTCTGGACCCTAAGCAGCTGCCAATGCTATCTAATGGGTTGCCAGACTCTGCACAAAACTCACATACTTATGTGTGGATGGTCCTACTTACTTAAGCAAGAGATAAATGGAATGATAGGAGGAAGCTACTAGAGTTGTGTGACATAATCTATCTCTGCAACCACAATCACTATGACTTGTACAACATGAGGGAGCATTTACATATCTGTGCAAAATGTAAACACAGATTGATGTGAGAATATGGCGCTTTTTTTTTTTAAGAAATAGTGATTTGATT